AGTTCATGCTATAACCACACTCATCTATATTAAGAATATCGTTGGTTTTTGGATTTCGGATAACTTGTTCGCAAGATATCACATACGCAGTCGGGCGTCGTTCCTAAAAACTGTTGTTTGTTGATCAACAAAAACAGCGTAATCAATAGATATTATGCATTGCAAAAATTCGTAAATATAGCTAAATATATAATAAATGTATCTCTTTAATAGTCCGCAAAAAAAAATCGCAAAGAAACATGTATTTTTCGTGCCTACAAGGTAGAATGGCCCCTTAATTAACGTTATTTCTATATTCGTAGCTTTATCGAAACGAATACGGATATATATTTTCTCAACTGGTAAAAAATAACTTTTTTCCCTTATTTTTTGTCCCTGTTTCCGTCGCTAGCCTATCTCAGCCCCGTGAATTGCATCGTGTTTTCGCAGAACCGCGTCGAATCACCCTGAGCGATTAAAATGGCTCCGTGTATTGCTGTTCCTATCGAGGCATCGACGCGCTACGTGGCCCCGAGTCTGTCGCTCGTGAAAAAAGAAAATAACGAAGGGAAATATGCTTGTAATATATATTCTAGATTGAGTCTTACGTAAAGATAACGAATTTAATTTCGATATTAAAGAAGATACTCCGATATATCAGCGACTGTTATCTACAGTGGTCGCACGTCGCGTATCAGTTGGCGTTCGTTACAGTCTCGAGTCCTGTCGTTGCAAGGATTCTTCGCGCGTGCGATAAAGACAGCGATACTCGATCTGCGTAGAACTTTCGCAGCGGAAACGGTATCTGCGCCGTGAATCTTAAATAGCGCTAAGAGACTCGCGCGACCAATATCAGCAGCAACCTGTCTCGTTCGGGGACGAGATGCCCTTTGCGATACTCGTCCGAATCGAGGCGCGGGGAATTTATCTCCGTCGATCCGCGTATCAAAATCGAGCCGACACCCGTTACCAGCGATACAGAAATTGACCACCGAAAAGAACACCGTGCTTCGAAAGAAAATCGAACTACACGCGCGGAATGAAACGAGTTCAGCTGCCCCCGTGACTACATTTCACTGGATTCGAACAGCTTTCGTAAAAGATAATCGCTGGTAGATATTTGGGGATATCTTTTCTATCGAATCTCAACTCGTTCGTATACGCATCTTTTTCCAACGATAAGAAAAATCGACCACAGATTACAATGATTTACCTAAATTGCAGAGGCAAAGGGCGTCGACCACGACCACTCGATGTTTGTATTCTCATAAAAATATATTTTAGATTCCTCAACTTTCACGAGACGAGAATTATTTAACAGGGGTAATTTTTGTAGTTAAAATTATCAAACCCAGAAAGTCAGGATTTAAGGGGCCATTCTACCTTGTAGGCACGAAAAATACATGTTTCTTTGTGATTTTTTTTGCGCGCTATTAAAGAGCGATTAGTTCCGTGTTTTGTAGATACATTTATTATATATTTAGCTATATTTACGAATTTTTGCAACACAAAATATCTATTGATTACGCTGTTTTTGTTGATCAACAAACAACAGTTTTTACGAACAGCGCCTGACTGCGTGTGTGATATCTTGCGAACAGGTTATCCGAAATCCAAAAACCAACGATATTCTTCATGTAGGTGAGTATGATTATAGCATGAACTAGGATCTTTTCAAAACAACAAAAAATGGCAAAATGGCAGCTATTTACGAAAAAATACTGAATATTTTCATATATTCGGCTGCCTTTTTGTTAATAAAAGAAAAAGTATTGTATATATCGCAATTCTCCTAGTTCATGCTATAGGGAGGCCAGTTCTAAAGATACTGTATAAATTTCCTGTTGATATCTTGAATAGTTTTTCTGTTATCACATACGCGGTGCCGAAAAATGTAGTTTCGAGAAAAACAGCTTTAAAGTTTCATGCCCAGTTTCGAGACTACATACTACAAGAAAACGCAAAAAAATATTCGGTTTTTAAAATCCCACAAGGTAGAAAGGCCCCTTAATTGCGAGCCCCTGGTATCGATGAAAAGCCATAGCAATAAAACAAAACAGCTATCAAACGAAAATCCGTTAGCGAATATCCGTGGGCTCGTTCTCGAAATTCGGGACCATAAAACATAAATAACGAAACTATCAGAGTGAACGAACGATCCCGCCGTGTATTTTGCTCCGATGATGTCGATCGATCGCTCCAACTGTTTACTATTGTTGACGGTGATCTAACGCCTAATAGAATAATTGCGGTTAGCCTCTGCCCGAGGAGAACAGAGAGGAAAGGACGTCGGGAATGCAGGCACGGTTCAGCTGTGGTAATATGTCTTCGTGTAAGAACGGGCCCGACAGTTAACGTCGTTGCGATCCAATCTGCATACCAAGATCGGATATCGTCTTCGATGAAACGGACGAAGTCGTTCCAGATTTTTATTTCTCGGAGACGTTCTACCGTTCGTAAAAGTACAACTTCGTTTCGGCCCTCTTATCGATAATTACTTCCATCGTCTCGATGATTTTTAAACGGGAACCTTCGTAAATCGACCGGATCGCTTGAAAAACTTTTTCATCGGGATGTGATTTACCGCAGTTAAAATTTTCATGTTTTCCTTCGTCCTCTACTCTACGCCGGTGACGCCAGCTGACGGGCTCTGAAATGGCAACGAGTATACGTGGATTTTTCTTCGACGAACTTTTATGGTAATATGTTGCCCATATTTCCCTCTTTACTTCCCACCACAAGGCGGATATCTTATAATCGTTAAACCATAATACGTCGTTTAATCGCCGGCTGCTTCGTCGGCTAATTTTCCCACTCCCTTTCCCCTATGCCTTTGTTGGTTCTTAAAATTAAATAAAATCCTGTTCAGTGATGCGTATTGATTAAAAGGGTTGAAACGCGAAACATCCTGTAAATAAAATTTCCCTTTTCCGAAACTTGTAGCAAAGAGTAATCCGTCGCGGCGATTTGCAACGCAGCGTGTGACAAAACACAATATAATATAATTCCCTGTCCCATTGCGCTTTTCAAACTTCCCCGACACCTCTGTCCTTCGATCTCGTATCTGTGATCGAGATTTATCGGTCGTCGGATACGGTGTTGACAAATTACTCGGGAGACATTCTCTTTCTGTGCGTAGAAGGTTGGGTGGCTTGGGGGGGAAAAAAAATGATCGCCTTTCAGGATCGACCGGGTGAAAACCGATGGCAGCCCTGTAAACGGGCGCGTTAATCGAATCTACGAGCGGTTCCTTTCTAAATGATTTGCTCGGCCGCGTGTGCGGGCCATTAAATCAAACGGAAATTATTACACCAGTTTTACGGTGCATAACTGTCATCCGTTCGACCTCGCGTTGTCGCCCGATCGATAGACCGCTTTTCATATTGTGGTCACCGTCTCCCGACCGCTCTTATTACGCCATTATTTCGAATCGTTTTTGACCCGAGCAGCACAATATCTCCGATAATTATTTGTTCGCGGTTGTTCCATCGATCGCTCTACGTCTACCATTAGACAGAGACGCGAAACAGACCTTTAAAAACATTACTTATCGCTACCAGTCTGATTATCAATTTTTGGTAGCCGTGCATAGACTGTAATATTTCTCGATGATATCTGTTTAATCGTTCTTTTATCTTTATTTATTCCTTACTTGGTTTCCTCCGTATTAACTTTGGATGAACCGATAGGGTGAAGCAAGCACGGAGCAAAACGATAGACAGCAATGCGTATTTAGATTAGATTCCATAGTGGAGTTTGCCTCTGAATGGCTTTTAGAGACCAAAAGATTTAGCACCGACCGCAGCTGACTCGCCAGTAAAGCTACCTAGCTGCCAGGAGATTTGATAACCGATCGAAGAACGTTTACTAGCTAGAATATAAATCGGAAGAAAAGGAAACGATAATGAACGTCAGAATGGCGTATCAAACGTTTCAGAACTCTCTTTTTAGAATTCCAAGAGTACCATCGTTAACATTTATATACTAAGTAACCGACGAATTTCAAAGTCTCTAACTTTATATTACGCTTTCGAAATTGTCTCGTAAAGAATGATCCTCCAATGATTCGTACCATCGATAATACCAGGCTGTAATTATATCGGAATAGCTGTCTCGGCGAAACGCTGCCGGAATGGCGATGTAATTATTTGTTTGAAATATTGTTTCGGTCGGTGCTGGGTGTCCGCAATGAATCACACCCTCTTCCGAGTTGAAGTCACCTCCTCTGCCTGGCGTTTACGAGTCTGCCCACTTACGCGCGCTACAATAAATGTTATCTTGCGTTGCTCGAGCGAAACCGCCGCTGGTAAACAGTCAATAAATATATAGCGCCGGTTTATGTACTCGCTGACCCTTTGCAGAGCGTTCAGGGAGAGATATATCACACGTTAGGAATAAATTTTTCCAAAAAAACTGAACATTCTTGGACAAGATGGATAGCTCGATCCTGCGAAAGCACGATTTCACATTCAATTTCGATTATGTAGAATAAGGTAGTCTGAGTAATTGTTTACCGTTTTCTCGCGAGAAAAAATACGAAGGTGGGAATACCTCGATGGAAAAAGAACGATAATGTCCTTTGACCAGGCACGTTTGAGGCTGTTCTCAAGGGTTCCAAAGAAATTCTTACGTACCACATGCGCGCACACTCGCATACATATGTTACACGCTCGGGAAAACAGACTTTCCCTTTCCACCCACGCCACGTTCGGTCACTCCCAGTAGAAAATTATCCAATCCCGCTTGGAGCAACCACTTCCACAAAAACCGATAGCCAATCAAAAATTTATCTCTATCGACGACGAGACTAGCTAAGCCACCGAGAGTCGTGACAATTTCTTAACCAGAAATACCAATGTCTAAACGTTAATAGAGTCGCTAGTATATAGAATTATTATTCCCATTTGTTGTTTTGATTATTATTAATCGAATCCGAATGTGACAATCTGTTTTTTCTCCTACAAAATAATTAACTTGCAAGCTCCCTAAAGCTGAACTCACCGAAATCGTTCTCGCTTCAGGTATATACACTCTACAGGAACACATTCACGGGCACGAGATCGTAATACCGCGGAAGGTAACCCACCGTGGAGATTTTATCTCGCACAATGTGACCCACCACCACCACGAGGATGGTCCAGTAGTCCACTATCGGTTCTCGGTGGCCGGTAACGTGTACCACATCGAACTGATGGCCGTGGACAACTTCATCGGGCCTCGAATGATCGTCGAAAGACGAAAACGAGACGTACACGTGCGCAGCCGGCCGAAAAATCAATCGAGCAAATGCCATTATCGAGGTTTCGTTCACGGACATTCAAATTCGCAAGTTACCTTGTCCGCCTGCGATGGTTTGGTGAGTTTTTGCTCTTTGCTTTCGCTAACACCTTCCATTTTGTTTTCAAACTCCTCGAACCAGAAGAATAATGTTATTTATAAGTATTTCAATCCGATAGTAGCTACCCAATCCAATGGGAAAACTGTGAGTGATCGAGATACTCCGATCGAGAAAAATGAAGTTTCGTACGTCCGACATATCGTACGAGTGTTCTACTTAAATTTTCCGCGTCGACTAAATCACATGACTCGAGAACTTCCAGCGAAAGAAAACGATCGGATCTTATTTTACGATCATGTACGATGATCGTCGCGAATAACAACATTGTTTATTATTTACGGATAGAAAAAATAAATAGAGAAATAATATGAAAAAGTCAACCAAGCCTTTGGAGACATATTTAAGAAACACAAATACGCTTTCAAAATCTTCTTTCAATATTTTATATTCCGTAGTTTTGTTTGTTTAACAAGGATGGATATTTGTTGGTGAATTCGAACGTTTCCAACGACGATAAACTTCTCCCAGATCGTATACTCGTGGTCATTACTTGAACGGCAGCTTTAATATGCAATAGAGAAAGGACTTGCCAAGAGATATTGTTCAATTTAGTATACTTTAAAAATATCGTTGTTCGTCTACCATTAGAAAATAACGCTCGACCTTTCGCTGCATCCTCTCTTGTGATTTGTCTTCGTTCACCCGTGGCATTATATGCTAGATAACGTATGTTAACGTTACTGCACGCTGCAGGAAAGTAAATTCCAAAGAAAATACATGCGACCTATTAAATGGATAACAAACGATACGTCGTGCTTAGAAACGCGCGATGGGAAAACGTACAATTTTAAACAACAATATTTAATCATTAATTGGAACTTACCATCTATATAGAGAACTTACATATGTATTCCCTTAATACAGAACTCTTCGTGTTTTTTTAACAAATAAAATGGATCGGATATTAGAATTTCATCGGAGAAACTTCCGGATGAGCTTGAGGTGGGGGAGGACGAAACGAAGAATTGCAATAACCGTTGAAAAGAAAGGAGAAAGAAGGCGAGGGTGGCAATAAAGAACGAGGAAAAAGAGGCGCAAGAACAATGGAAGGAAGAAAAAAGCGTAGAAGGTGGAAGAGGAGAAAAAGGAGAGAAAGGATATGGAAGGGGGAGGAGCCCAGCGTGCATACATCGGTGCAATTTGCTCGCAGCTCCCAGATAATGATTTAATTTGCCACGGCTTGGCAGATTTATGACGGCGCACCTAGACCGCGTCCACCTGTAAACGCGCACGCCTATGCGTCTACGTTCGCGCTACCAGCTTCCAGGCAAATTTCTACACCGATGTCTTTTTCTGTCTGTGCGTTTTATGCTGCTACGGAACAACTTCGTGGTTCTTTCATTGAAACTCCGTACTCATCGGTGTCGTATGCGATCACGCTACTCGAGATAAACGTAAAGGAACGAGTTTTGATCATCCATCGGTTCCTTCCTCGATAACAATGTTGCTTTCGAGCCCGTAGAACTGTCCAATGTATGAATTCATGGCGTATACTTTTCCTCTTGACTTCCGTAACGCAACGATGATGAGCCAATCGATCAAGAACGCAGGAAATCGAACGACAGAGGCAAAAATCCAAGAATTTTCTATCGAGACGTACAGCGTGTTAAAAGTTTGTGGAGCGTTCGGTACGAATACCAGCGAATCCGGGAAACTTCCGTCCGTAAGAAACACATTCTCACGCAATGCCGCGTAATTGCTCAATTTTCTCGAGGAAGGTCGTGAAACTGCATATTACTTGTGGCGATTGATCCGACCGGGGCGTTACGAAGACACGAAATTTCGCGAGAGCGCCTCGATAAAAAGGAAAGTACTGCAAAATTTTATCGTAGATTTTCCGTAAAGCTACGGCGAGGAAGCGATGGGTTTCGAAGCTTAGTGCCCTTAAAAGACTCGAAGGTTTGATAGATTCGGGGGCGTTAAGAGGGCGCGAGAGTTTTCATGGGTTCTTCCTTTCCGTAACTTTTCAATTGGATGATCAAATATCGCGAAAACGTCGCGTAGATTATACGACGCGATCGCGGGGAACTGGTTTCAGGATACATCGCGAATTATAATCCACGAAGCGTAGCAGGTGTAGGGGGTGAAGAGATCATGTATCCTTGTACTACATTAGTCGCATACTTTGTTGCTAATTTCTCCTTGAAACCGCCGTTATGCCCTTGTGCAAGCATCCGATACGCGTAACCGTTCTCGCATTTCTTGTACCTGTAATATTCCGTTTTATTACGGCATAAAGGCCGACGGAACGGAGGCGCGGGAGCGTGCAACATTCCCGAAAAAAAAACTCCCGTAAGTCCTACTTGTGTTTGCGGCTCGCGCAGACCTTAAATCTCGCCGTGACGTCCAATCAATCGCTACCTTTTTAATTGAAACCTCAACTGCCGTTTCTTATAATATTCTGTAGATACTTACCTACATTTTTAAACACCTACTCATTACTACATAACATAGACTCACGAATCGCAATTTCTGATTGAAATGTGTCAGCGACAGCTGCGATCTGTGGAATAATGATAACGCCACGTAACAGGAAGCATTAGGCCGTCAAGCTGTTTAACGACCGATAATAAGCGATATTATCGTCGAGTCCGTTTCACGGTTCTGTCGATCGGCGTACTCCTACGGAATAATTTTCGGACGAATCGATACAGTACGCGATCTTCGTAATCGACGACTATCTAGGCTGGCCACGTCGCAGATCCGCGCGTATTTACGCAGCATGTAAATGAAGTAATCGTTCCAGGTGGCATGCGGGCGTGTGTGCGAGTGTAATTGGCGTCGATACGTAATGTTCTGTAATTTCAGGCTTCCGTGGCAATAGCATTATCCGGTGGGTAATTCACATGCCCTCGATTTCGACCGCTTAACGTTAGTTAGAATTGAATTTGACACCCGGATCAATCAATTAGAATTTGTCAAAATTATAAATCCTCCTTCGAACAATTTAACTTTATTTAAATCATCTACCCTTTATCCTCGAACCGCGATTCCTTTGGCCTCGCAGAGCCCTAATCGCGTTATCAGCGACGATAACACCAGCACGCGAATCTTATCGCTTCGGTTTCTCTGGCGAATAAATAGGAATAACAATTCGTAGAGTACGAAAACAAGAAAGAAAGGAAGGGACGGTGAGGCGGTTATCGTCGGGATACCGAAAGGTGTAGCTTCTTTATCCGTTATCTCGAATTGCACGAAGTCCTCGACGCGAGCCGGTATCGTCGTCGAAGGATCAAGGATACAGCAGCGAGACGCGTCTACTAAATTTCCAGGAATGATCGTGAGTTACGATAGGCCCGGTCACGACGACTGCAAAATGCGCCGTGGACATGCATCTTCTCGCGTGACGCTTCTTCCTTAACAAATGACACTTACGTACAAGTCGTTAGCATCGGCTCGTTCCATAGTTCGACGAGTTCGTTAGAAGCGCTATAAACGAAATCGATCCACGTTCATTTCTCCAAAAACACGTTTAACCGAAACGATTATTTTCAATCATCGTTGTTGCAGGCCATTCCGTCGGGCTGCCAATTGAAATACAAGAAGGACCACGGCAAAACGAGAGGCTCGACACGACGCGCTTATAAACTGCTTATAAACCCGATCTAATAAACAACTTCGGTTATTTACGGCTACGTCTCGCTGTAACGAGAGACACCGAGGCACTAAATCGTCTCGTGGATACCGAGCTGATTTAATTTCCCCTGAATTTTTAACGAAACGCGAGCCGAAGTCGGTAATATTTTAAACGCGAAACGCGACGTTGCTTACAAAGTGTTTCGCATTTACGTCCAACGTAGCATCAACTTGACAAAACTGTAAATCAACCCTCGTAGAAAGCGAACCCATTCGTCGATTGCCTTTTCAACGACTCCGCCGTGCAATTTTACGATCCGCGAGGAACCAGCGACGACGTATCATCGTTAATCGAACGATCCATCTTCGGTTACGCGTTTGTTCGTGTTTGCGACATCGATTCGACGTTTTTTACTTCCTTTGGCGCGCGTTCTTGCGAAAACTGATCAACACATCTGACCAAATACGAGTCGCGATACTCGAGCATCGTGGGACGGAAAAGCCAAAGTCTCCTAAAGCGACGCGTATCTCTGTCGATCATTGAATTTTCTACAGAGGGTTGCGTCGTAATTCGCGAGATTTTCTCGATCGCGAGTGATGTCAATCATTTACGAATACGTCCTCCCGCTAGCAAATGGTTATAGTACGTGCGCACAATTTGATTGATTGTTCTCCGTCTCACCGCGGAGAAACAGGTTCCCGGAATACGTGCCGATACCGGATCCGCAGAGGCGGTGAACATATAATTATTGGTAATAGGTAATCAGAGAAGTGCAGCCCTTCGTATCTATTTCGCCCGAGCTAAACGGACGATGGGTGGCCCCCGATACGTGTACTCTCGGCGTTTAGGCTTTTAATCGATCGGATTACTCTCTCATCGATCGCGCATGGCTCTCCATACGTTCGAGTTTGAGCGATCGCTGTCGATCAAAGTCGAATTTCAAACGTTTACGATGACTCGCGAGTGGTTTGACCGGGTGAAATTCCCGCGATTCGACGAAAAATATCGATCGAGTAAGATCGTTGGTCAGAATGCCGGTCTGGATAGAAACGCGACAGGGATCCGAAAAATGTGGAAGGCCTCGTACGCAACGTCGGGATAATAAGCGACCAATGCGCCGTTGCGGACCGTGTTTATGGGCGTCGCAATCATCGAGCAACGGTAGCCTTTTTTGCAAAGCGGCAGCTCCTCGAATAGCCACTAAGAACGTGCACGTACGTAGCTACGTGGTAGCGATCATTATGCGCCACCCACACGGGAGGTTCGTGGCGACTATTCTAATGATGGCATAAATCACGTTTCACCGCAGGAAGCATTTATCATCATCGAGATCCTTGCTCCCTTCCTCTCGTTCTTCTCCTCTTTCATCTTCGATTCTCCC